AAGAGACGTGGATGTTCGCCTTGTAGTGTGCATTCAGCGTATTTGCAGTTCACTGTAAATTAAGGAAACCTCTCGAATCTCATATTTCCACTCTATAAGAATAAGAATGAGTATGCCTGTGTTTCCAATACATTTATTGGTTCTTGCGTTAATAAAAGACGCTTTTCGAACTGTATAATTTAGTCATATATTTTCGAATGGTAAGATTATTGTGAAAATCATCAACCCATTCTCTATCTGATCATCGTATCAATTGGCCTATTAGGTGACGAGAAGGACCCAGAAACTTTAAAGCACCGTATTACGCAGATTTATCCATCCTGTATTAATAGATCTAAATATTCACCACAGTACGTCGTTCTCTGACACCCTCAGTCTACAGTGTTCCATTAGACACACCTGGTTTCCTGCTTATATTAGACAATAATTTCATCACTTCTCACAGAGTAACAAATCAAATACAAAGACAGAGTGACATAAAGATGGCTGTCTTCTGGGTTTTAGCGCCGTGTAGTGCGGTAGAAGGGCGATTCGCTCTGATGATAGAGGCAGCAAGGACCTATGAAACATTAAACTTCCACCAGACTACACGGCGCTACAGCCCACAAGACAGCCATCTTAAACACAGAATCATGTAATTACCACCCTCACCTTTTGCTTTAAAGGATTTCTCTAGCTCTAAGTGATTGTTCATTCAAGAAGTGTAATATGTTCTAATCTGATTAATCAATTAGAGCACAATAATTTCAGTTAGCAAAATTTCTACAGTAAACATTTAATACATATCGCGTGTCATATCATTTGAACAAATAAGGCAAATTAAGGAACTGTACTTCATCACACACCTTCTTCAAAAAACAGCAACCCAACTCCAGAAGTATAAAGATCTTTGTGTTATAACTTCAGTGTTCAGAACCAAGATTATCCCATCTATGACTCCATTAACTGCATATCTTATCTGCTGAGACGATCTCTTCTACCGACTATTTACTAACCAGTCCGAACCTGTACCACCCCACCCCGTCCAGCTTTACCTCAACTGTTAAATGGCGCCCAACCTCTCATCTCAGTATTCCAGTTTAAACATCGTTATCATTCGGATAGGATCAACAGAAACGCGACCCTTTTAAGAAAAAGCTGCTTTGGATATCTTAAAATTCAGTCCTCACAAAGATCAGCTGATTAATGCTGTTTGAGAAAATGATCGCTGTTTATTGTGAGAATCTTATGAAACATATAAATACAGAATGAAGAGTTATTTACTGTTAAATCAGGTGAGATAAAGTCACTAGTGGGCTTTAAAGGCTTAAACAATAACAGACTTCGCCATATTATTATTAAAGTAGTGGAGAAGTTCGGGTTAAAGATTAAATAATTAAGTTCGACCACTGAAAAAGTGGAGAGAAAGAGTGGGGAAAGAAAGAAAGAAAGAATAAAGGAATTAACAAAACAAGAAGCTGCTTCGTCGCCACAAGAGTGACAGAGTGTACGTATATTTCTGAGTTGCTATGTGAATAATATTTTAATACAAATTTTAAAACATGCATTAAACAGAAACCTGTCTGAAAGGATAAATGTTGAGACACCTTAGGATTCGGCTGCAAGCCGGTTCTGTTCCGTGACCCGAGTCTGTTGATACTACCTTACAAGCAAGCAGCCGACACATTCGCTGGCTTTGTGCGCCGTCCCTAATGTACTTCCAACAGGGGATCCACCCTAGCACGGCGGGTGACGTCTCGTCTCGTCTCCTCACCGTCTGCTAAAAGCACCTAAATAATTTATTTCCACTTCGGAGATAACCGACAGCTAATTACGTGGCCTATCGAGGAGGGGAGTTCTGGGCAGAGAGCCTTGCTTTTTGTAATCTTTTATTCTGACAAACTGAAGGTCTTGACGCACGTAAGTCCAATATGGCAAATATTTCAGGAGAAGCAATGACTTGCCTGTCTGTTGATACAAACTCTCGAGTCATTAAAGTTCGTTTCCTATGTAACGTCGTGGTCTGTCTACGGACTTATTTCGATCTAATATATTAATAAATTTGTCAGCCGATTTCTTCTCTAAAAACTTTTTCCTGCACTGATGCTTTTAATTACTCCATCTCCATGCTCTATCCAGTGTTTGAATAATTACACGGAGTCTTAAAACGCTTATAGTCACACAGCAGGTCATTGAATCCGTCTTTTATGAAATCATAAGGGCAAATGTGCACACGTGAGCCTGTCACTGCACTTGACCATTAACCATAACCTCCCATCGCGTTTACCAAAGTTCCAGTAGGTGATACAACAGGCAGATATTGATAAAAGAACTGTGATCTTCAGATCCTATTGTACAGCTTTCATATGTTTAATCGGAATGGATTACGTGGTTTGGAAACTGGCTAAGAATTATGCCCAGTGGAAAGTTTTGATATTAACGGTGTTCTGCTATCAGAGAGTTGGTAAGTCAGTCATAACTTCGTGTGGTTTAAGGTTTTAGAAAGGAGGCAGAAGACAATACAGACTTAGAACATTTGTTGTCCAGCCCTGACATAAAAGAATCTTTGCTCAAGGTCCCAAGACTCGTGTCAAGGAGATAAGTGCCTAAAACTGGTGGCTGGGCGTTGCTTGTAGGGAGTGAGATTAGAAACCCTTGTTTTTGTGCAGTCAGAGACAAAGGTGCTGGTAAGGATAAGGCATCGCATTCACAAAGGTTTCCAGATACCTGGAGATAAGTGCACCTCTTCACAATGACACATACCAAACTCTTCCTTCCGACTGCTCATCCCCTTGACAACAACAGGGGTGGAAAGCATGGCTCACGCAGGGTACCAGTTGGACCGGTAAAACAGCGTTGATTTTCCCGACGGTTGGTACCCTGTCTTACACTGTACAACACAATTCACAGAAAAGTCTAATTCTTATTAACTAACTAAAGCTGTTGCAGCAGAAGCCAAATGTTCAACATCGGCAATGCCACAAAACCACCAATGGACACGAACCTGGGCCATTTCCATCCACCTCCTATACTGATAAGGCTAATTTTCCAAGACGCTTCGTAATGCTACCGTGTGTATTTGGTATTCGTAGTGGCAGGAATTCTACCAGAATTTTGTATGCATTCCTTGTCTCCCCCATTCTTCCCCAATGCCCAACCCACAGCAGCCTATTTGTTTCTACTAATTTAACGATATATGAAGTTACGTAAAATATGTAGCCTTCAGCTTAGCGGTCAGCCGTATGAGAATGTCAGAATGGAGGAAGATACAGTATCCGAAACGTCTATTCTTACATGGTGGATCGCCCGAGAAAACGTCATTGAATGTTAGGTAACGTTCAAGTATGTTTATTATGAATATTAACATTTAATCACTTTCAAGGACGAAGAGTTCTGTTAACCGTGTTAGCCGGGCTATTATTATTAGCCAGGAAACATGCTTAACGTATCGTACATCTACATTTACATAGATTGTCAAATACGAAATATTAAATATTTTAAAAAGTATATAAAACAATTATATCCGAGATTAAAATTACCTACATATTAAAGTTAACATTACCATTGTGCTGTGTAGAGTACGTCCCTTATATATATTTAACAGTCCATATAAATGCGGATATACGTTACAGTAAGCATATTTCCCGGCATATGTCGTGTACAAACAAGGGGCGGATGATGGCATGATAAGTGCCGAAACATGTACCCCAGGACAGTAGAATACCATACCATGTATTTCAAAACGAATAACAGACGTATAAAATCAGACTTCTCGTTGGTATATAACAGAAAGGAATTTATCATATGTAAGATTTGAGGTTTTCACAGCAGTGAGTATGAGGATATCTGTCTTCTGGGTTGTTGCCCTGATGACGGAGGCAGTATGACCTCCGAAACGTTGGTTAACATCGACCAGACTACATAGCGCAACAACCCAGAAGACAGAAATCTTCATACTCATCGCCCTGATGAGGGAGGCAGTATGACCTCTGAAACGTTGGTTAACATCGACCAGACTACATAGCGCAACAACCCAGAAGACAGAAATCTTCATACTCATCGCCCTGATGAGGGAGGCAGTATGACCTCTGAAACGTTGGTTAACATCGACCAGACTACATAGCGCAACAACCCAGAAGACAGAAATCTTCATACTCATCGCCCTGATGAGGGAGGCAGTATGACCTCTGAAACGTTGGTTAACATCGACCAGACTACATAGCGCAACAACCCAGAAGACAGAAATCTTCATACTCATCGCCCTGATGAGGGAGGCAGTATGACCTCTGAAACGTTGGTTAACATCGACCAGACCCAGAAGACAGAAATCTTCAGATTTACCACAATTGACCCAGGCTAGACTCTGTGCAAACAAGTATTAAGGTTCAATACAGATTATTTAATTGCTAGAAACAAACGACAAACCGTGGCTAGTTGTAAAACAGTATTTTTATAGCCGTGATAACAGCTCGCGGGTCCCCAGTTGCAAAACACGTCACTGTAGCACGGCACATCCGAATCACACCCGTCGTTAGGCCTATTCTGTCACCCGAAGTTATTTATGGATTTCGTCAGCTACAAGGCTAAATGCAAGAATAACTAATAAGTGCACGGCAAATGATTTCGCGCAGTTATAGCCTAGTTTTTTTAGTTAAATAAAAAATCCGCAATGCCATCGACGTGTTAAATTCAATCCACATTTTCATGTCTTATATCTCCAAGATACGTAAATGTCAATGTTTCCTTGGTCTTCAAAATGTTCCTATGACATTTCTCAACCTAAATTGTGCACATCGAGGGCATCATGCCACATGGGCGTATCAAAAGAATGACTGATTTATGGGAAATTAAATTAATTTGCTCATTTCCTTTTTTGACAAATGTTAATTATGCGCCATGAATTTAGTGTAGGTAATGTATACCAAATTTCGTGCAAACATGCTGAGTGACATACGACTTACCGACTGACAGAACTGGCCTACATATTTTATGCAATTATGGACATTGCGATGAACATTCTGTTTCCATAAAAAGTAGGTAATGTCTTGACCACTAGCTTCTCAGGAAAAAATTTCCATAAAGTTATTTTTTGTAAATACTGAGGAAAGAATGCTTAAAAAAGAAACTATTCTATTATAAATAGCCTAGTCTCATAACTTGTATTCCTTCTATTTATAAATCAAGACCAGAATGCAGTGAACTTGCGTCAGCTCTCATTATGTGACTCAAAAATAATGCAATGCCAAAAATCTAACTTCATTGAGAAGAGTCCTTCTCGAATAAATATCTGTCGCTCCGCTTGTCAACAAATTTCTCTAATTGTATAGAACCTGAAGGTTCATTACCCTGTTCACAAGAGCCCGCCACAGACCCCTATTTCGGTAAAAATCTTTCTCATCAAGAAACTCCGTGCTTCTATATATATATATCCTGAAGGTTCATCGTGATCACAAAGCACAGCACTGGACTCTATTCTAAGCCAGTTTAATCCACACCACATAATTTTTGTCCAGAGACTATTCCTTCCGCCAATATCTTATCCTGAAGTTAAGGATCCATTTCACAGACGTAATATTATATGGGAGGGTAAAATTAAGAAGGATCTGAAAGAAATAGACTGTAAGGTGTGATGATTCAGCTGGATCGGGACTGAGTTCCTCCTGTCTCCTTCGTAGAAAGTAATTCTTCAAAGAACTCAACACAGGAACGTTTTGTGAAACAATGATAAAACTACGAAGTTTACATAAAACTACAGGGAAAAATTGGAAATAATGTAATGAAGGAATGAGATCCAGTAGAGTTCAGATGAAATTATAAAATATCCAACGAAAAGGAAAATCTCTAGAAGACATACAAAGGTTTATATATACGAATCAGCTGAGAAAGCTGTATGAGACTTGCGAGTGGATGCTTTTCAGAACTAGGTGTGCACACTCCAGAATCTATACAGAAGCATGGAAGAAGATTGACAAATGATTCACTTATTATTAAACTACATTATTAAAAATCAATCTGGCTTGTGACAAATGACATCAATAATCCGATAAGGTTCTTCTTGCGTGTGTACATTGGTCCTATATGCCATCTCTTTCATTCACAAACAAATCAAGTTCGGTTAGGTACGGAGATCTAGACGGCCGAGGTAGTGCACTACAACCAACCTAACAATTTCGTAACGCTCATTCAAGTGCGCCCCAACGTGCTGATGGAAGAACCCGCGTTTTGTCTACAGAGGAACATCCTCCATTATAAACGGTAATTTGTTTGTCAGGAAGTGCAGATAATTTTCAATACTTAAACGTCGTTGTAATACCAATGACCCAGTCAGCTATTGCCATCTTTCGAATTACATACAAATAGGTGGTAACATCTTCAACCGAAACCGTCATCGGTGTTGCCATCTATCGAAGTGCACATAAAGTATGCAAACGTTTGCACACTAAAAATGTTCGTAGTACCACAGCGGCTGGAAATAAAAGCAATAATGTTAAATATTTGTTGCTCGAAATTATTTCCCGAATCACAGGCCCTGATGTTCATCAGACCGGCCGTGAAACACGTTGTTTTCTTTTACGATGCATCGTTTAGTGTTCTTCAGTTGCCTGAAATAAATATCTTCATAACGCGGCAAATTGTTTTTTTTTATAGGTTGCGCCAATTATTTTGAACACCCCAGTGCCCAATTTTGCGGGGTTCTCTCTACAAGAGAAACATCATTTTGTATTTTTAAGACTGCCTAATTTTAGAAATAAAAATGTCTATAATTCTTCCGGGGTTCTTTCTTAGAAGAAACAGTGCGATGAACGAATGGGTGGCTATTATATAGCAATAGATAACGACCATCAAATATTGATGGGAATTACATTTTTCTGCCAAGCAGAGATACAATTTATTGCAGAATTTGCCTTGAAAAAAGGCATAAAATTTATTTATAAATTAAATTTCATGTGAAAACATCTTCAAGTGACTGAAGCCAGATTCCTACCAACACAAAGCTGACTACCTCAATCCAGACTCCACCAAAGCCTTGTTTGAATTTCTTGCCATCAGAGTCACCATCATCAAAACTTAAGGCCTTGAAGGTGGTTACGAACACTTTGGAGGAATGTATTGTTTCTATCTTCAGGGTGAACAACCCTGAAAACTGTGATTGACATATTCACTGCTGTGAGAATGTTAGATCTTAAGACGTATTTAATTTTCTTCTGTATTTACTTTCTTACTAGCATCTGATAAAGCTTCTGTATTTTTCTTCATTTTATTTATGTTTTTGCCCAACCCTCAATTTTATACTGCAAATAATGATGATGATTATATTTACAGGTCATGCACACAAAACGAGTTTCAATGCACTGATGGCAGCTGCATTTCTCTCACCTGGAAGTGTGACCTTGAACAAGATTGCATGGATGGATCTGATGAAGTCAACTGTAGTGAGTCTAATAAATCCATTCAATTTATATCTAAAATCTGTTAACTTCATCTGAGAAATGACCACTGCTGAGGCTGTCTGAGAATTCAGTATAAGAATATTTAGCTGCAAAAGAGAGGAAGTAACAGAAAGATGAAGAAAATTTCATAATGAGAAAATGTACAATTTGTATTCATCACCAAAGGGAGATAAGAATATAAAATGTTGGAAAACCGCAAGTAAAGAAATCTCTTGAAAACCTAGACATAAATGTAAGATAATATTGAAAAGAATGTGAGGAGAAAGGGCATGAGGGGTTGGACTGAATTAAAATTAGCTGATGGTAAGGTCTCATGATAGGGTTTTGTAAACATGGCAATGAACCTTAAGGTGAGTAACTTCTTGGCCAAATCTGTTAACTCAAAACATTTCAAGGAGGACCTATAGCAGAAATTTCTTAACCACCCAATAATCCTTCCATAACATAAATAGCCAGAAGACATGTATAGAAAATATGTGGGTTTTCTTGTGGGTCTCCAGCTCCTTTGAAATGTGAGGGGCACAAAAATATTTTCTGACAGAATATGATAAAAAAAAGGATACAACATTTATAGGAACAAAAATATTGTTTGCATTGTGATGTTCATTATAAATGATTTTTCATAACACCCCACTCCACAATGAAAGCCGAGAAACATGACTGATATCACACAATAATTTATGGCGTATTCATTGATGTTGTAGATGAAAAATACAGTCTGTCAGTACAAGCAGTAATATCAAAATGAGGATGAATAATGTCGGAAAATTCACTGTCGATTACATGGATTTAGACAAAATGGATGTCTGTGGAAACATATGTTTCTACGAAGAAATGTTTAAAGCAGCTTGATGGATACATTCCTGTGGTGGTAGGCTTCATTATGAATACCAATCTACAAAGTAATTTTTTAATAAATTTATGAACCCAAAAGCAGATTCTGTCCCCAAGTGAATAAAAAAATAAATTCCAATTTAAATTTACAAAGCAAAGTACATTCTGTTCCCATCATTTAAGCTGGAATTCTGATTTAGCAGGGTACAAAACAATGTCTTTGATTGCTTGCAGGTTTTAATAAATAGTTGGTAAATCCAGTTTATGACCTTAAATTATTTAAGTTCTAAATCACTGGATTATAATTCACAGTGATGTAAAGTGATGTTAATTTCTTTGTGCAATTCTGGTTGCAGGTGTGGAACCACCATCCTGCAGTGAAGGAGAGTTCCGATGTGCTTATCCTCGCTGTATCCACCTAGAATTTCGCTGTGATGGAGATGATGACTGTGGGGACCGAAGCGATGAGGATGACTGTCCAAAAGTTGATGGAAATTGTGGCACAGGGGAGTTCAAGTGAGTCAAGCTTATGTATCTCTGAGTGCAGTGTCCTACCACCTGCATGGATCAGTTCTGCTGGAATTAGTCAATACCTGGAGAATTATAATGTTTAAATTTCCAATTTGCAATTTCAACTTCATTAAGGCTTGGTTCCAGGATGAAGGGCTCTGTTGTATGTACTTCAGGCTCTTTAAATTTATCAGCTACGTGAACATTTAGTACCTTACTAGAGTAATCTTTCCATCTGTCTACAATGCCATGAGAGTCCACGAGCAGATCCCCATTCTCGTCCTTGATCAAATGTGTCCTGTGTTTGCACCCCTTCTAAAATTCACTTATGCCTCTATATAACTTCTCTGATGTTTTTATTTTTACTGTTAGTTTTCAACGACCCTGTCTGATCTTTGAGATACTCCCTCTTCTTAATTGAATTTCAGACGTTGTTGTCATAAAGTCTCTAATTACTCTCTTCTTGTGTGAAGGTGCAACAATGGAAAATGCATCCCCGACTGGTGGCGCTGCGATGATGAAAAAGACTGCGAATCGGGTGATGATGAAGAGGGCTGCGTGGAGAAACATCTACGTGCATGTGGACAGGATGAATTCTCATGTTCCACTGGCAACTGCATACTGGTATGATTCTTTAATATGACATCTAAATATGGTAATTCCATCTGAATTGTTGGGTTTTTAGACCTCGTCCATCATCTGATACAACAAAGTTTCATGGAAAGGATCTGTCAAGTCCTTGAAATGTTATGTATTTTATAACATAAGACAATGGACAAGGTCCAGAAATCCAGATTGTATTATACCATCACCAGAACCCTTCTGAAACGAACAGTAATTCCACATTGCTGTACTTCAAATTCAGTTAACATTGAAAGGACAATATTTCTTTCGGAAATACTGCTGTTCCATATGCATGTGATGGTACTGCACTGCATACCACTTAAACAGAGGCACTCCATAGGAGTACTTGTCACTTTGCAAGGGTGAACTGACCTTTCTGTCTTCCTTTTTATTTATTGTGTCTTTGTCCTTCTATTCACTCTCTCTTCCATATTTTCCTTCTTTACTACATTCTTACATTTCTTCTCTCTTCTTTCTTTTGTTATTCCCTTATTTTTTGTTTTGTTTTCCTACCTCCCTTCCTCATTCCATCTGACACACCTTTCTTCCTGTACCAACTTTTGATTTTTCTTTCTTATTAATTTTTTCTTTCCTTCTTCCATCTGTCAACCCTGTCTTTAATTGTTTATTTCGTCTTTATCTTTCATTCTGACAATGACAGAAATTTGCTGCAGACTTGCTGTTTCCATTCCACACCTCTTTTCTAAATGCAAATCCTGAGTGACTAGAATCTTAAATTTACTAATATTATTGACGAGCATTGCTGTTTCGTATCATCAGATAAATCTCGTTCAAACTATTTTGCCAAAATAGTAACTAGAGAAGAAAGTGAATTGGAATTATGACTTAGCTTTGATGTTATTTATAGACATGCAACTACTGTCAAGACATTTTTTGATACAGAAAACATGGGTGTGTGATGGTATCCCAGACTGTTCTCGGGGTGAGGATGAAAGCAAGTGTGGAGTCATTTGTGAAGACTCTCAGTTCAAGTGTGGCAACATTAGTAGCAATGATTCGACATCAACATCATCAAGATCAACTATTACTTGCATTGGAAAGAAACACGTATGTGATGGAAAGAAAGACTGTTCTAAGGGTGAAGGTAAGACTAGGATCTGTCATCATAAAGTTAAGACATTAAGGATGGCTTGTTTTAGCCTTTAGAGTTTACACTGTCCAATATTGTTTAGAGCAGGTGTTCATGATGAATAAAATTTTAGTATTTGTTTTGGAAACCAATGTTTTTCCATTCAGTACATGTGTGAAACTAGATATTTATGTCTGTGTGGGGGTTTCCAATGCCACATACATGCACATTCTCTTCACTGACCTGCTCATTTAGGTGTTCTTTTGCTTTGTCAATGAACTAACTATGACGATTAACTCCTGCATTATCTTCCAAATACAGGTAGCCCTTGATTTGCGCCGATTCAGAATAACGCCGATTTTGAAACCAGCAAGTCAAAAAGTGAAAACAATATATTTTACTACTATTTATAACGTTATACAATGTATCTCGTACTGATTCTTATACTAAATCGTAATTATTACATCGCTGATGATTTTGAATAAAAATTATAAATACAGTCATCTCTGCAATGCAGTATTTTTTCAGGCAGTCCCACAGAGTTAGTTCTGCCAGCAACACCCTTCAGTCTGTCTGTCACAGCATTAGTCTATTCGGACTTTATCAGTGACTTGTCAACTGTTGATCTTGGACCTTCTCTACAGTCAAATCTAGCCAAATCTGAATTTAAACTCATACTGCACCATAACAATGCTAATTTGATAAAATCTTTTAATACAAAACACATGCTGCTCACCATATTCTTTACAGGTGATCAGAGGATTTCCTGCTAGGGGCATCCCTAACTGACGATAAACAACCAACTTTTATGTATTCTGTAACAGCACATTCATCAATAAAACTACTGAATCATTCTTTTGACATTCCTTTTTATGTAGCTTTTTTCCCTGCCAAATATTCAACTTTTTTCTTCTAAAATTTGAATTTTTTCAGTCAGCAGGTGCGTTAAATACATTAATCTATTCAGGTAGGCTCACACAACTGTTCTAATCCAAAAGTTAACTTAACATGACTTCTATTTACTATATTCAGTAAGAAATTTGCCTGGAAAAGTTGTCAAACATATATACTGCATTATTGGACAATCTTCATCCCATAATCATAATCATCACAATGCAATCCTCATCATCCAATTGATGTTTAAACCAATGTGAGTCATCTCATGATAAAGTTATCTACAGTATTTTCTTTCTTCCCATAAGCACTCCTCATGTGTGTTTACAGTGTCTTTACAGTTTTTCTGATGCATTCTCTCACTTTGTTTCTCCAATGGTTATTTATTCAAAATCACCTCTCTATTCTATTGTCATTCACATATACCTCATGTTCTTAATTTTACCAACTCTTCTTAAAGTCTCTATGAAATGTCAGTTGTAACATTATTTAAGTACTGTAAAACACACGAGTCTGCTAGCTGATATTGCCACATGTCTGTTTTGTTCTGTGGTGCAGATGAACGGAACTGTCCTCACAAGAAGGAATGCGAGTCTGGAAGCATGTGTCACCAGCAGTGTGTGACACTGGCAGATGGAAATGATGCCTGTACCTGCTACACTGGCTACACAATCAACTCTGATGGTTTCAGGTATGTAGATAACATGCAAATTCAAATTCTCATATCATTCATTCATTTACTTATGTAAGCAGCACACGTTCCTTGTACAGTTTTGAGTATCGCAATGTGTCAGAGTGTCACGGAAACTTTCTTATTCCTTTCATTGTCAAAGCGACAAGAAAACAACGTCAGAGGTTTGATATAGGAATGTAACAGACTGTCACACACTCTGGGATGAAATTAATGGCAATGAAATGTGATTGGTTAGAATGGAATAAACATATGTGTGGCAGGTCATGTGCACTATATGATAATGAAATACCAGTTCTTTCACCACTTCAGCTCAATGCAGTACCTAGATAACTATACAGTGAATTGTAAACTACCGTGAAAATCTGAACACAAATATCCTAAGCCATCAACAATATCAGAATACTTTAAAATACAAGCAGAAACCACTGTTATTGTTGTGTAAATCATGTCCATAGTAGCAAACTTATGAAAGAAAAATTCCCTGAAAACCGGGAAATCTCAATTGTGGCATATCATGTGACACTCCTCTCCCCCTGCCTCCGGCAATGTGTCACCCACCCCTCATATTCACCAGATGCTGGACATGTATCACCATCATAATGAATATCTCTTCTCATTTTTTCCCCTCATGACAAATATTCTAATACACACACACACACATCTAGGCATATGTCCACATGTTTCACCTCCAGAACTATTCAACTGATTTGTAGCCACTAATACAGTATTCCTCTGATTTACAGTTGTCAAGATATTGATGAATGTCAGTACGAGACAGACCCCGTATGCAGCCAGACCTGCAACAACACTGTCGGTTCATTTACTTGCGGTTGTATGACTGGCTATGTCCTCCGCCCAGATGGCCGTACTTGTAAGGCTCTTGGCGCTGCCCCAACACTCCTGTTTGCTAACAGAGTTGACATCAGACAAGTTAGTACATGCCTGTATCTGTATTATTATCTTCACGTTTGTTCAATCCTTGGCTCCTCATCAAAAAATGTTGGGTGTTTTCCTGTTAGCTGCATTGTCCTTGAAGTCTAAATAACTTGTAAACTTTAGTTATATCTTGATAGGATATAGTCAAGTTCAAAACTTGTAAGGAAGAAACCATACTTTGTGCATGAATCTGTAGCAGTGGTAAGAGTGGAATGTTGGTGACCTCGCTTTGAGAAATTCCCACTGTGTATATCTTTACAGTCTGTTGACAATTAGGGAGGAATAAAACTATGATACAGTGACATGCATGCCTGTGGTAGCTTAGAACCAACTGGAGGGATTTAGGTTCAACTCTTGAGAACAGACAATCAAGCATTAAAAAGTGTGGTTGAAGAGGGTGAACATAAAAATTATATCCAAGAAAAAACTGATAGTGTGAGATCCAGTAGCTCTGATTCATATACAGAAAAACTAACTGTGGTGCCCAGACAGTTAAATATATAAAAACAAAGATGAACCCCTTGCTCATTACTTGATAGCTCCATCCCACATCCTGGCAACACAACACACCTTTATGGAAACGGAACTAACTAAAGGGTAGTATAATCTTGAAATTCAACACCGCTAGCACCAAAATTGACAGCTGGATATTTAGAGCCATTATCCTTCACATCTCCTTCTTGGTCTAGTAAGTTTCTGCTTTCCAAGATGTTACCACATTATGGTTTTGTACGGATTTATGACTTCCATCCAGTCTGACCAAAACAGCTTAACATTTACTGTACCCTTTTAAACTGCTAGTGTATAAATCAGATAGACTGAGTTATTTTTGTGTGTATGTCTTCTGGCTGTTGATACAGCACACTAATAATAAAGAATTGAATAAAGAATTTAAATTTATAAGCAGACCTTCACAAAGGATGCCTAAGCTTGTGGCTAGTTAACTGGCCACATAAATCAACAAAGTTTGCATACAGTAACCAGTATATTGGCTGCAGGTATTTAAAAAGTTAAAAAAATGGTCATCCACAGCACTTTTATTCTCTATGTCACTCAAACCTTCTTTCAGGTACCCAAGCAATTCTTTTCAAAAATTGGAATCATGAAGTATAACCTGTTTTATAGTTCCTGTACATTTTCTCACAAAATAAAAAAAGTCACATAACCAGTGATATGCAATCTCCCAGGCCTCCACAAGACTAAATTCCTTGATATAAACAACACTCAGTGACTGAAGAAGGGAAAGAAATATGAGTAAACATATAAATGAAAGATAAAAATGTACTGAAAACAGCAGAGCATGGCAAGCCATATTCTCTGAAAACAATAAGATATTCTATGGTCTTACTGACTGCAAGTCACTAGTTAAGGATTAACTTTTGTTATGTTGTACTTCTTACACAGATTAGCCTCAACAGTGCCAAGTACACAGCTTTATTAAAAGGTCTGCATAATGCAATTGCCTTGGATTATCACTACAAGAAAGGACTGATCTACTGGTCTGATGTTTCCATGGATGTCATCAGAAGAGCCACTCTAAATGGAACAGGAGCTGTTGGTATGTAGGCCCAAAATCAGCTCTGAATGGATTAGATACAAGCAAGATGTGAATGCATCCAAAACATGTAGTTTGATAAACACTTAGGAAGTGTGCGCAAAAGTGACAAGTGAACAAATGTGAAGTATCTAGCTACAAATATATTGAACGAGCAGTCTGTCTCAGTCTCAGTCAGACTGCTACATCAAAACATACAAACTTTTTAACTATCCTGCTTGGAATAATGTTTCCTCATTTTAAACTGACAGACGTGATTCGCTGGGGTTTGGAAAGTCCAAGTGGAGTAGCAATTGACTGGATTCACGATACTATCTTCTGGACAGACTCTGGGACACGTCGTGTGGAGGTAGCGACTTTGGATGGCAGCATACGTGTTGTTATTGCTGCTAGTGACCTGGACAAGCCACGAGATATTGTCGCTCATCCGGGAGAAGCCGTGGTGTTCTGGACTGATTGGGGTATGTATGGAGTTTACTGTTTAATATTTTTCATGCTGAGTTCGGTTACAAAGTGCTGAAGATCAAATTTGTACAAATATAATGACTTCTCTGGAATTATGTAATTTCAGGTCCAAATCCAAAAATAGAACAAGCAGAAATGGATGGCAGCAACAGAAAGGCTGTTATAGCTTCATCTTTGATCTGGCCTAATGGCTTATGCATCGACTATATAATGAGTCGAATCTATTGGGCTGATGCTAAACATCATGTCATTGAATCATCAAAATTTGATGGAACAGATAGAAAGAAGGTAAGGAGGCATAATGGTGATATCAGTAGTAAATGTGTACAGCTGTCATAATGAACAAAGAATGAGTAAAATTAAATGTCTCAAGATGTTTTTGAACATAATACAACGCTGTGCATAAAGGGCTGTTAGATAACGGTATTTATCTGTGTAACTGTCACAATGTCTGGCAAAATTCTTTTACATGTAAATACAAATGGGGCAATCATGAAGGTTTACACTTAACTTTAAAACAATAAGTTCATTAGTGGCAACAAGTTTCAATATTTATTCTTCAGGCCAACTTGATAATTAATGTGCAAACTATGCACTTCAAACTAAAATGTTTGGTAATTTTAATTAATTAAATTAAATTAATTCTAATTTTAAATATATAGTTAGTACACTACATCAAGTTGACCTGAAGATGGTATTTAAATACTACAGCATGCCATCACTAATTAACTGATTGTTTTAAGATTTTAATCATTTTGTGTTGAAGGTAATAATCATAATACATAATTTAAGGTATACAATGGAATGCCTTTTTATAAAATTGACAACATGTATTTCAGGTAATTGGTAAAGGTCTGCCACATCCATTTGCATTGACAATCTTTGAAGATGCAATTTATTGGACAGACTGGCATACAAAAAGTATTTCAACTGCTAACAAAGTGACTGGGAAAGGCTTCAAGACAATACATTCAGGACTTAATTTTCCCATGTATATTCATAGGTAAGTGTACAGAAGAACTGAATCTCTTGTTGCATTTGAAAAAAATACGTTCTAAAACATCAGTCCAATTTATATATTTAGTTTAGTCTGTTTTCTGTATAAGCACGTATTATCAGTGTTTGACTGTCATTGACTCCTTGCTGTTGGCAAACACTTCAATAAATGAATTGAATTATTATTATTATTATTTGCAGATGTGTTCTCTTACTTTCCTTTGACATACATTTAATTTATTTCTAATGCCATCTCTCTGTCTCTCTCTCTTTTCTCTTGTATCCAGTTATTCACAACACTATAATTTTGTTTAACATCTTCTTTAAATATGTCCAGCATTCCCAAAGTTTATCATTTCTTTTAATTAATCTAAAATTTTCAATATCTTTTAATTCCTTCACCGACCAGATATAGGATTATGAAAGTTCTGCAATGCATTCACTGACTGAATCATAATAATGTATGGTTCTTTTTACAGCTATCACCCTCAACGACAGCCAGATTACCCAAACCGCTGCGGAAACAATAATGGTGGCTGTTCACACATGTGTCTTCCAAACAAGAGTAGTTACCGGTGCATGTGTCCTATTGGTCTTCAGCTTCATGCAGACAGGTATGGCAGAGCCCTACCGCACATTCCTTTTCATAACTAAATCATCGATGACTGACTGTTTTAGTACTTGGTTTTAGTTTTCCCATTTTTTATCTATGGTATTACTTTTGTCCATTTCTTGGATTACTGGCCATGCAGTTCAGGCAGTTATAAACCAGTTCTTCACCATAGAGCACCGGGTTAATTTTATATGGAATTTTTGGAAGACAAAGTGGCACTAAGCAGGCTTTTCACTAAGTACTTCAATTTGTACTTGCCAGTTGTTATTCCAGGATTGCTCTTGAGCTGTGTGTTAAGCCCAATCAGACAATGCATTATCACAACCCAGGCTTCACATCTGACTCATAATTTCACTTGAGTCAAATTAAGGAATTTGGCTTATTTTCCTTTTTTCAAATAACATAAAGAAGCAGATCTTATAAATTAGAAGTCTATTTCTAAGCTGCTTTTTAAATGGTAAAATGGCTTTATAAGGCCTCGCATGGTACATGTATGTTCACCTAACAAGTTTTGACCCAGTTGCAATATTTTCACTATATTCAATAAAGTGGAAGATACCATAACACTAATTAGTTCTCAGAGTCCTTCTTGGAAAGCATATTGACTCATGTGGTAAACAAATTTAGCACCTTATAAGGAGCACATAGTTTCATTAACAAGTTCTCAAGACCCCACTAAGTCTTGGGTTCTGTTTAAAATGTTATTAACATGTTGGTTTTGTATGGTTACAGACTGTTACATTTAAATTCCTACCTTTACAACATTAACATTCCAGCTAAAAAAGTGCATAAGCCTGTGAAACACCAAAATCATTCATAGAATTCACTATCACAAATCCATTAATAATGTGCAACTTACTTTTAGGAAAATAACATAGTTACTATCTATTTTTCAGTCTGTCAATAACTCATTAATTGCTCAAATCTGTGAATATTTAAAAGCATCTACAAATTTTGGGTAAAAAATATTTTTGTGTGTTGGAAATACAAAAATTATGTCAGAAAGATGTTACATGTAAGAAAATGGAAACCAGTTTGTACTACGTCATGTGCAGCTGATGTAATTTTTTTTCAGGAGAAACTGTGATTCAGCAGCAGCTAAACTTCTCTTATTTGCTCGGAAGAAAGACCTACGCATGCGTCAGTTGGAGAACAGTGATGTCGATATGGTGATCCCTGTTGATGGCATCCGATCAGTTATTGCACTTGCATGGGACAGCGATTCTGATTCAATTTTTTGGACAGATGTTGAGTCTGACACAATTAATCGAGCACATCTAAATGGAAGTCAGCAAGAAGTCATTGTCAGTTCAAACCTTGGTAAAGACTTATATACAGAATCCGTATTTTTGGTCCTTTTATAATTTTTGAGTCTACTTTCCTCATTTTATAAAAAGTGATATGCTTGTTGTATTATCATGTCATGTGTCTGCCCTCAGTAAATTTGTAACAAGCTGATGAATTTCCATAAAATTTGGCATGAATATCACAAAGCAATAACTACTAAATATTTGATGGAGGGCATCTGAAACTGACATGAAGACACTGCATGAACTACATACAATTCTGCATGCAATGTTATTTACATATTTACAAATATGGTAATGTTATCAAACTTTCAAGTCATATCTGATAATTGTATTATAATCTGAACATGTATTAGTAAAAATTACACATATAAATTAATCTTTGACTGTACAATTTATTAATTTACAGTTCTTGCCTGTCTCACCATATTATAGATTGGATATTTTAGGAAAGTAGGCCTCATTTGTCCTTCCAAGAAATTATTGTTTTAATCAGTGTGAAGTGGGTACCATGTCACACAGAATGGTGTGTTCTCGGGTTTTGGATGGAGGACATAGCCTCCAGACAAAAAGTACAGCTGCAAATATGATAAAAGCAGTTGTAAACAACTAATTAGTGGTCATTCTCAATCTCAAGTCAGGTTCATAAAAGAGTTCACTAATGAGAAGACCTAGAAACTTGGCACATGAAGTGATATTTTTGAGGTACAATGTGGGGTGACAAAAACCTCACAACTGTGTGAAGTGTACACACTGGGTTTCAGTTTCACAGTTACAACAAAAATCCATCCTCCAGAGCCCAATGTGAGAGATGATTTTTATGACTTGTAGCCAGCATTCAGTAATAAAGATGGTGACAGCATTAGCATACAGTTTTGTCACAACAGATGGACACTTCTCATTAACCATTCCATTCATGGCAACTGCAAACAAGGTCATGCTTAAAACTGATCCATGGAACTGGCTTAAAATTGTGTCTAATGACAGGCTATGGTATTGGTGGTGTTGAACCTTTGAATTCTATCAGAAAAGAGAGTTAGAAACAAAGACTGGTACAATATCTCTCTTGGTAACTGTTCTGTACCTATATAATTTTAGAATCGCCTGCTGGTCTGGCTGTAGACTGGGTGACTAGTAAATTGTATTGGACGGATGCTGGAACCAACAGAATTGAAGTGTCCAACCTTGATGGCAGCATGAGAGGGCTGCTTGTCTGGGAGGGACTGGACAAACCAAGGGACATTGTACTAGATCCTATTGGTGAGTATGATAACACAGGTTTAAGTGAGTTAGTACAGTAAACCCTGCTTATAATAGATTACAAAGAGACCTAAAAATTATTCCCTTCCAGAGAGGTTTCCATTTAACACAGGTACTTCTATATAAATAATATTGAATGGTACATTATGCCATGTATGTATGATTTAACCTACAAGTTACAAATTCATGCTATTCTTAATGTTACTTATACTTCCAGATTCCTTTTCCTCTCATTATCCCACTTTATTTCTGATTTTTTTTTTCATTATTCTTATTCTTCTCTACTTTGGTCTGAGTAGTAAATATATTTTCAGCTTTCCTCTCCTTCTCTTTATTTCTTCTTGATCTTAGTTCATTCTCTTGTACTACTCTATTTGTCTTACTGTCTTTCATTTCTTCTTTGTTTCTTTCCTTCTGTGAATTCTCTCCTCTATCTCTGTTACTTTTTCCACTATTATATTACTTTATTCTACATGTATTTTGTCAATGGATGGACTTCATTCTTTCTCGTTTGCAATAGGAATGTCCTTCCAATACAAATTACAGGGTACAGTATGAATGGAAATGATGTGTACACAAAGCACTGAATATTCAAGATTATTTTCCATTAAATTCTTAGTTCTTCTTACACATTTGAAACTCAGCATTTTCCATTCATTTATGATAAACTTATATTGATTTTATTCTTTATTTTTGGGATCAAATAAATTTTCTGATAAAGACATGTTTCATCAGCATTAAAATAAACCTCCCTTTAACATCAGTAACAGAACAGCATGATGTTTTCTAAAATAAAATAGGAATTATACATCATCAGGGTGATGAATCATTGCCCTGATGATGGAGGCAGCATGACCACTGAAATGTTGGTGGACATCTACCATACTACACAGCGCAAGAACCCAGAAGACAGCAATCTTCAGACTCACCGCTGTGAAAACCTCAAATCTTATTAATTAGGGTTTTCCATTATTTTCCTCATGCCCTCCATTACTCAAGTATAAGTCACAACCACTTCATCATTTCTTAAACACACTACAATATTCCACTTGATGCGAAATAACCACAGCAATTGATACAGTTGTAAATTAAATAATACAATTAATGACATAAAGGGAAAAATCTATCTCAAACAATTTAAACACTTGCAATGAAATTGTCCGTACTGCAATTACCACATTTCTGAAGCATATTCTTTTGTACCTTTATACAAATTACTTGTAATTTTTTTTGCAGGTGGCTTTATGTACTGGAGTGACTGGGGAACTGTACCGATGATAGAACGAGCTGGTATGGATGGCTCACAACGAGCACCCCTCATAATCCACAATTTAACATGGCCTAATGGGCTCGCTATTGACCATGATCATGAGCGATTGTATTGGGCTGATGGTGGCACCAAAGCCATTGAGTTTGCATCATTAGATGGAACCGGACGCACTGTACTCATAGGTATAATATTTTAAACTTTATTTATCTTAAAGTTTTCTTCTGATTTTGAACAGCTCTCATAAAACCTGTAGAAAAAGTCTACAGATGCCAGCACAGAGTAGGATGAAATAGCAATATTCATTTTAGTACAATCATGAAAGACCTCCTTTAAAGAAGAAAGAGTTAATGGGGAAAAGGTATGGGCCATTCTAGAGCAAAGTGTGTCCACGACACCACAGAGAGATAATTCACATGCTTTGTACTTAATCTTTGGCATAGGAAAGTCAGTTCACTGCAAATACATACTCAATTATTTTTACATTTAACTTGTAAATACCAAAGACAATGTTTCATGCATTATACACTCTATACTGTCTCTTAGCAATCATCTGACAGATAATATCAAAGAAAAGAGGCAAGATAGAATGATATTCATACACATAATATCAATATTTATTGCCCAACAGCTTATCACAGGCCTGATCATTTGATACATATCACTGTATATCACAGAAGAAATTACTATCCCTAATCCCATCATCAATGAAACTCAAACCAAGGATAACTTTTGGGTTTCTTGACCTCACTGCTTTAATCCCTTCACTAAAACAATTTTGTTCTTTGTGCCTTTCTATTGTGCTTTGTTTTGGAGTTACTAAAACCATTTTCATCAGAACTTGAACCCAGGTCAGTTTTTGAGTCTGTAAACTAAGTTCCTGCAATCTCCTCACCAGAACAAACAAATTTTGCCTTGGTGCCATTCTTCTTTCACACTTTGTTTCCAAGCTACAGAAACCATCCTCATGAGGACTCAAACCCAGAACAGTTCTTGTTCCTGTTATCTCATCACTGAAACAAACAACTTTGATCTTTGTGTTGTTAGTCTATCTTATTTAGATTCCTAGCTTTAGAAAACATTTTCACTGGGAATCGATCCAAGGACAGTTTTACGGGGTTCCAGTCATTGTTCCTATAATCCTTTCTTGGGATCATTCTTCTATTGCTTTTATTTTCTGACATACAGGAAATACCCTCACTGAGAATCAAATTCAAGACACTTTTTTCTGGAGTTTTGACCCTGTTGTGTTCTCTTCCTGATCTCAAAGAACATGCCAAATTTGGTGCAAAACAGTGTAATTGGTTATTTTGTTGGGTGTTTGATGTTTCAGTTGGGTTCTGTATGTATGATTATGAATCTCGAGTATTATATTTGTAGGTAGTATCGGATGTAAGTAATATAAGATTGATATGATTACAATGATTGTTATGGTTGCTCTTCTTCAGTTCTTTAGCTATATGTGAACAAACATACATACTAATACAGAACATCCACAATTTTAACTTTATTTAGAATTACCATCATTAGCTGTGAATATTTTAATAGATATTAAATATACAGAAAATTTTTGTAGTTAAAAACACTTGTGTTTTGCTTAGGATCTGAACTTCCACACCCATTTGGTCTTGCTGTATTCAGAGATAAGATCTACTGGACAGACTGGGATACTTCCAGTATCCACATGGCAGATAAACAAACTGGAAAGAATAAGACTATACTGAGGTATGAATAATTATACACTATTAACCCTTTCACACTCATGCTTATATTCTGAATAATGAAAAGAAACCCTACCAGAAGTTCTTTAGTCTAACACAGATGACATTGCAAGAGACTGTGCACATCCATTTCTCCCTCTGTGATTCATCACATGCAGCAATACAAATACAGGCAATCTAAAGTTCACTGGAGACAAATTCCTAGAAACTGCTGCATTTATAAAAAATATGTAATGACAAATGTCTCAGATTCCAATGATGTCATGTCAGAGAGGAATGATGTTCAACAAAATTAATTCTCTGTTATTTTAATGTTGTTACAGGAAAATGCCTGATGTGAAATAGCATGGCATAAAGTATTTATTTAAGATGCCTCCCTCCCTGTTCTCCAAGTGGGTACAGTGTCCCCACCAGCTTTCTCTACACCCTCTGTATTCATGACCTTCAGGCATACCTGCATGTTAACTTTAACGCTTTGGTGAAATGTAATCCGATAAGAAACCACTTGATTGATGAAAAGAAACATAATTATTACATATTGTACAGAATATAATAAACCTAAAGCTTATATGAATGTATGCAGTTCATAAATTAAATTTGACGTGTTGGAATAGGTCCGGAATATCAAATCTGATGGATATTCGTGTTTTCCACCGTGGACGTCAACCAGTGCCCACCATGTGTCAGGCTAAGAACGGTGGATGTTCACATCTTTGTCTTCTTGCTCCCCTCCCAAAGGGACACACATGTGCATGTCCAATAGGCATTAAGCTGTTGGTGAGTAAAGTATCTACATGTGTACATGTTCTAGTAACTTCTGTATGGGTTGACTGACTTAAACAAAACTCAGTATGCAAGTCACAACAGGGTTACAATTTTTATATCCCAGCCACCAACAATTTGAACACTAAGAATGCAAACCTTTAACGTAGAAACGAGACAATAATTTATGCAAACCCCAGAAAATAACTCCATGGTTCAAAATCTTCTTTGAGCAGTTGCACTCACTCAGTTGGTCAAAATATTTCTAGCATTTATAAGACCCAAAATTTCATCAATGTCTTCAAAAAAGCCTACACTAGAACTTAATCTATTTCACCATGCATTTCTCTAGGATAAACTGAACATTATGTAGCCATCTACATCTAGATACCTCAAATGGTTACTTCCATTTGGTTTCCCACCAAAAATGTATTAATTTCCAATGTACTCCATGCATTCTGAATGTTCCACTCATCTAGTTCATCTTGATTTCATCACATATTGTTTTATCTGCCAATATCCGTCTTCTTGATTTTTTCACTGTGATAATATTAAGTTTTGATTACAAATTGAGAAACATAACTGCTATCATTCAATGCAGAATGTAAAAGGTGTATTTTATTAGCTCTCTTAAAGTATGCAGCTTTTAAAATTCTTCCTTAAAATGTTGATAGTTTCTTGCACATTAAAGAAATTCTCCACATTATATGAAACCTAAAAGTTCATTACCACATTCACGTAAGTCCATAATTTGACACCACCCATACCTTTACTCCATATTTCTCAAATATCCATTTGAATATTATCCTCCCATCTATGCCTGAATCTCCCAAGTGGTTTTCTTACTAAAACTGCTTATGCACTTCTCTTCTCCCCTTTGAATGCTGCATGTTCAATGCATCTTATTCTCCTACATCACACTAATAACATTTGGTAAAGAGTAAAATTATTATGCTTTTCATTATGCAATGTTCTTCACCCTGTTACTACTTCTCTCTCAGGACCACTCTCTTAAGCACTTTGTTCTCAAGTGCCCTCAATTTATTTTGTAATAACAGATGACAATCAAAAAATATTTTCAATTTTATGTGCAATAAGTAATTATCCATTTTAATAAAATACAGAGTCTCTCTAAAAAGAAATTCCAGTTTTAATTGCATATAACTGCCTAACTACTTAACAAACTTCACTGTATTTGAAGTCTCAGTTTAGTAGTCTTGGGAGAGTGTGCTGCAGTTTAAAAATCAACCTACACATAACTGAAGAACTGCGTCATGAAATTTTGGTAGAAATGATAAGCATCAATGAAAAATCTCTAGCTGCAGTTGTGTGTGATTTCCAATGTTGGCTACAGATGGTCTTTTATGTTGACGGTGCATATATTAAAATGGTTTTATGTGACTGTCAATCTCTCAAGACTACTGAACTCAGACACCAAATGCAGTGTTGTTTGTTATGTAGTACAGTAATTATATGCTATTAAATCTGGAGTGTCTTTTTAGAAATACCTTGTAGATGAAGCTTTATGTGGCTGGGCATTGTAAACATGTCGTCAAGAATAATGGTCATATTTGTAGGAGGATGGTCGAACTTGTGCTCTGGGACCAACCAACTCTCTGATATTTGCTCATCGGGTTGACATTCGACAGATCTCATTGGATGTTCCATATATTGTTGATGTAGTTCTACCTCTGCCTCCTCTCAAGAATGCTATTGCTGTAGATGTGGACAGGAAAACAGGTAAGAAGAAGCATAGCAGGTTCATGAGAAGTTCTTAGCCACTTATGTTCATACAAGGGCAGCTTCATGTCTGGCACTTTACCCCTAGGAAAGGGCCCAGTACCCATTTGATAGGAGGCTGGGTGGGCCACAGAGCCAGTCTGGATGCTGAGGCTACAGGAAATATCCTGTGCCCTCGTCGGGGATCGAACACTGGTCATCCAGTCCGTAGCCAGTCACTATGCTGACTGAGCTAACCCGGCTCTACACAGCATAAGAACATAGGTCCCTGATATTATGTATAGTAAAAGATCTTAAAAAATATTCATCTTTTGTTAAAGATTATTTGTAAATATAAAACAAGAACATGGTAGCTGTTAAAAATATATATTTATCTTTTGCTTCCATCAGTGGAGCTAGGCACGTGTCATCACACTGAGACGATCATAAACATACATACAAATTTTGTATGAAACATAATTTTATAGGTTAACAGTTATAATGTTACTGACAAATCTGGTAAAAGTAGGTATTGTAAGTTCTTCAAAGAACTTCTGGTTTTGCATTACATTACAGGTGAGATATACTGGACAGACACAGCTGAAGATGTCATTCAGAAAGCAACACCTGATGGGAGGCATATTGAGAATATTATAGTGGATGGCCTGGAGACTGCAGATGGAATTGTCATTGACTCCACTGGAAGAAAGGTAGACCAAATATTATGCTTTGTCATTACTTCTGGTTTAAACTGGGATCAATATATGAAACTACACAATTTCCTACTTTGTATGATTTGAGGAGCGGTGAGTATGAAGATTTGTCTTCCGGATTGTTGTGCTGTGTAGTCTGGTCGATGTTTACCAACGTTTCTGAGGTCATACTGCCTCTGTCATCAGGGCAATGAATTGCCCTGATGACAGAGACAGAAATATTAAATTTCCTACTTCCTTATAAAAGTATATGTGCTTAAAATTTATTATGTTTCTTAGATATATTGGACTGATGCTGGCCGTAACAGCATAGAAGTAGCAGAACTAGACGGGCGCAACCGTAAGGTTCTGGTTTGGTCTGATTTGGAATCTCCGCGTGCTATTGCTCTCCATTATCATCTTGGACTAATGTACTGGTCAGACTGGGGCAAGAACCCTCGCATTGAACAAGCTGACATGGATGGAGAAAACAGGTGTGTACATGAAATTAACAAGATATGCTTGCAGTAGTATGATTACTCTAATCATGCCCTCATTCTTTCTTGCTCAGAACTACTGACCAACTCTGATGAATTTTGGCATGAATTGGAGGCCATGGAATCTCAGTATTTTTAACTCCATCATCAATGGTATTATGGGGATTAATCATGGAGAATAAGGTGTTGTTTGTTTTCCAATTTCATTGTAATTTATCTTTTGACAAACAGAGCATGTCAAGAATGAGTTTGCATGACTTAACAGTCACTGTATATGCATATAATAACATCTTCCTGTTAGTGGCCCAACATGTTTCAGCTCTGAATGATAATTTTAGATGTTTGATTTCATCTTTGTTCATCTTTGAAACATTCTGTGTCACAGATAGCCTTGGCCTGACATTTTATATATGTATGATATAATGACACAATATAATTTCCAATGTCAAATTTGGATACGCTTTTAATACTTCCTCTTTACACAGGATGACTTTAATATCAGAAAACTTGGGCTGGCCTAATGGGTTGGCTATTGACAGACCTGCTGGCCGTCTCTATTGGAATGATGGGCAACGCAAAACCATCGAGAGTTCTAACCTGTCAGGACAAGATCGACACATTGTGGTGACTGACGTACCTCATCCATATGGATTGGTGATAGTGGGCACTCACATATACTGGACAGACTGGCAGACAAAGGCTCTACACAGGGCTGATAAAATAAATGGTATTGATAATACTATCATCAGAGGAAAGCTTGAGGGACTCATGGACATAAGGTCTGTACAGGTAAGACCGACAAAGACAGGTTTGAGGAATGCAACAAATGCTGCACATCCTTAACCTTTATTGGCTGTATGTCACAGCTTATGCATGGTCTAGCTGGCCATGTCACAGTAGCACACCGTTATTGGTAAATTATCCTAAAGTTAAAACGTGGCTAGTATTCCCATAGTATGAGGACTTAAACCCTTTTTTCATGTATGATAAAGGTTAGTTTAATGCAGACTATTTTAAGAAGTATACTCCTGATTCTAAAGTGAAAATCAGTATAATAATCCAATTTAGTTCAGTTATTTGTACAAAAAATAGTGCATAAAATATGTGATGACTGAGATGATATTTCTATGGTGCTATGGAAAAGATCATCATTATTAAACATCTGATCCTTATATTGAGGAGAATTTCATGGTAAACCTATCTCATTTTGAAATATCTTTTACTTAATCCTATTTTTCAAAACAAAGTGTCTCTTTATCTTTCTTCAGGTGTTATATCTGAAACTACACAATGGATTTTCCTAAAATTTTGTAATGTGGGTCAACACAAAAAGTTGTCATAAGCATTTAATTTTAGTTTATATCATTTCAGTATAACATTTACTGTCTAATTAACTCAAATCTAACTTCACTGTTAGTTTATATCATTTCAGTATAACATCTACTTTCTAATTAACTCAAATCTAACTTCACTAATGTTCTCAAAAATGCTCCATTGTACCAAAACTAGTATATCTCATAATATGTAGATCCCATCAACATTTAAAACTTGTATTCAGAACATTTTTTATACATTATATGCTTAAAGAAATAATGGCAAAATAATTTTGGGGTCAAGTGATATCTGTAGCTTTGTAAAAAAATTATATTAGTGTTAAATAAACATTAAAGACAGTAATGTATGCAAAATCACAAACAATTCATTTAGAAAATATTAACTTCCCACTCTGGCAACCATTTCTCCTAAATATAATAATAAATACATTAGGGGTTGGACATTTAACAAATGTATCTTAATAAGCAATATAAGACTTAAACATGTCTTAAAGTTGCATTAGACTTTAGAAATAACACAAATGGTGAATGTCTGCTTATAAAAAAATAATAATGTCTAGTAGCACCCTACAAATTAGAAACTGCACAAGGTTAAAGCATGAAAGCAGCTGTTTGTCTGTCCGACTGTGTGTTCCCCACCTACTGCAGGTGGACAATGTCGCAGAGAATGCATGTGGGAGGAATAATGGAGGATGTTCACATCTCTGCTTGCGGACACCTTCTGCCTACACATGTGCCTGCCCTACGGGCACCATACTTCGTGAGGACGGACAGACATGCAATTCATCTCCATCAACGTATCTTCTTTTTGCAACAAGAAGTACACTGGCAAGGGTATCACTTGACACACCAGAACTATGGGATGTCACACTGCCCATACCAGATGTGCATAATGCCATTGCAGTTGACTTCCACTGGAAAAGTCAGAAAATATACTACACAGATGTGTTTCTGGACATCATCAGGTAAGATGTATGAACTACTGTTCTGTGCATCCCTATGTCTGCCCCTTCCCTCTAATAAGTTTCAAACCATTTGATATATTTTCATGAAGCTTGGTATAGACAGATATGGCACTAAAGGTCACTGTTGCACTGTTGTACTTATGAATTTCCTACTATCAGTAATACCCAGATAATGGCTGTACAAACTTCAGAAGTGTGGTACTGCATCTTTAAAAAATATTAAACTTTTGTCAGGTAATGTTCTTGTAAAGTATAGAACATGGCTACCTCACAAAATCTATGAGTATATATTTACGAATATATTTAGCTTTTAATTTGATGGTGATAACTAATGAATCATATAGCTAGGTATGTGAAATTTTGAATGGAGTTGATCACAAATACACCTATAAATTATCTCAATGATTACAAAAATTGTGACTACATGAATCTTTGAGATTACATCTGACAAGCTGAATGTAGTCAGAATTTCTGTTAGTAGAAATTATGAACAGAAATGGTTTTGTTCTTGTTAGCTTCATCACATAAAATGAAGCATCTGAAGGACAGTAGGTATCATAAATTCCAAGAACTTTATGTTTTAAAAAACATATTAATATGTGACTCCAAAGGTTACACATGTCACTTATTTTTGACTCAGAAACATCTTCCTACATTTTTCTTGTTACTGGAAAATATACTTTTACATTCTTTTCTCTAAAATTTGGTCTGTAGTAAGTGTATGGTCTCATCTCCTTCTTGGCATTCCAAGTGGTAATTTTCCAAATGCTTTCCTCACCAAAACTCTGTAAGCATTTCTTGGCTCCTTGCCCTAGCTATATGTCTAGCCCATCACAACCTTCTACATTTCAATATCCTAACAATTCGAGTGGACCTTTATAAATCACAAAGTTTTTCACTGTGTTAAAATCTACTTTAGAATAAACAGTTTTATAAAAGCTAAAAGCATAATTAACATGGCACTCAACTTGTTCATACAGGAGTGTTGATATGCATAATTTAACAAGCACCAAGACCATCATCTCAACCAACCTAACAACTCCAGATGGTCTGGCAGTAGACTGGATTGCTAACAATATTTACTGGACTGATGCTGGCAGCAAAGTGTTAGAGGTTGCACGTTTAGACGGTTCATCTCGTAAGATCATAATTCAAGATGGTCTTGATGAACCACGGGCCCTAGCCATATTTCCCAGGAAAGGGTAAGAGCAGCATCTTGTTTGGTTCTTCCTGGTTTATTTTATCAAATGTGTAGTTTCTATAGTGTCAAATAGCAGAATTATGAATGATGATGAACATCATTGCAAATAAAAAAAGAAAAATCTCTACTACCAAAACAATAGAGGAATTATGACACAAATATCAGAATCCTCTCAAGCAACAAGCTGTGTCAGCATTTCCCTGATGATGGAGGTCGAGGTCTCTGAAATGTTGGGCTTCTGCCCAGACCTGACATGGCTTGTTGCCTGAGAGAATTTTATTCAGTTCAGTGAAAGCTTCAAATCATGTAAAATATCAGAATTTTAATATTTAGGAAACATTATATCAGATCATAAAGGGATATAAAAAAAATACAGTCTTACAACAAAGTAAGGTCCCACTAAACAAAGTTCTGCACTTCATTCATATTATGGGAGCTGAACCAATGACAAGAGATGAACAACAGACTGAAGACTGGCTTGATTTCATAAGATGAATGTGGCATTGTAAGCATACCAATAAATATTTTACAACACAGAGAAATTCTGATGTTATGTCTGCCAACATTCAAATACAGTACATCTATTTTAGTGAACATCAATTTGTTGTACTCTTATAATTACTCATTTATACAAAAGTAAGTACAAAATAAAGGCTTTCTTTTTAAGTTTTCATAAGATAATCAAACAGTAGACTTACACATATCTTACTTTTCTATATAATTTCCTTACTACTGAATGCATCTGGTCCAACAGTCCACATTCTTCCTTATTCTGTCACAATGAAATATTTTCAGTTAGACCTCATGCCATTCTTGCACTGTTCCTTTTCATCACTGATACTAATTTTAAATGCAGTTTCATGAATGATGTTTCTTTGGTTGTTGCTGATAAGTTTTTCACCTCAACATGTTACGGTTATTGGTCACCCAGAAGACGCATCATCGACAACACTACCCGCCCTTCTTCAAATCTATCCACCCATTTCTGACTCATTCAGTTATTGCCATAGTAAACTGTCATTCTTCCATAAAGTTCACTACTGGTTAATTTAATTTTAACAAACAATAGCAAGTTTTGTTCATTATGTTTTCTGTCATGGTCCACAATCTTCGTTTAAACTATAAAATACTTAACTGATGAATTATACTTTATTTCAGGTATCTATACTGGACTGACTGGGGAGATAACCCAAAGATTGAAAGGTCCTTTCTAGATGGATCATCTCGTAATACTGTGATTGATACTGATCTTGGCTTTCCAAATGGGTTAGCACTGGACTATGCTACCTGTCAACTCTACTGGGCTGATGCACTGAGAGATCGTATAGAAATATCAGATCTACATGGTAAAAATAGGCTCCATCTTGTTCCAGAGGCTACACACCCTTTTGGACTTACACAGGTTTGTTTGTAACATGACAATAATTCAAGTACAAGGCACATACTATGTTTTCCAGTAGATGAAAAGGAATCTTTCTTAATCAAACAATTTCACCACCTTCCAGTATGGGGAACATATCTACTGGACGGACTGGTACAGGAAGTCGGTTGAACGAGCAGACAAAGCAACTGGGAAAGATCGAAGAGTTATTCGGACAGATCTGGACGGTGTGATGGAAATCCGGGCAGTGGCAGCTGGAAGACAGACAGGCTGGACTCCATGTGCAGATCGTAATGGTGGCTGTAGCCACCTGTGCTTATTTAGACAAAAGTCATACATATGTGCATGTCCTGACAAACCAGATGAGAAGCCATGTTCTACAGGTAAAACTAATGCTTTAGTTAATTTTTCTTTCAGTCATGGTCATAAACGTGATAATTAGTATATCTCCGAGAAATTAATGCAATGTCAGTAACTAAAAGGTCGACACAATAATCGGTAAACTGTTGCGTATTCTTCCTTCATGTACGAATTTAAAAACAAACAAAATTTCAAAAAATGGCTCTGCTTCTATGAATAGACGAAATCAAACAACCTAATCAGTTGGGCTCACTGGAAAAAGGGTAAATAATTTTACAAAGGAAACATATAAGAAAAAGCATCAGTTTAATGATACATCTTTGTCAAAAGCCTTTAGATAAATCTTATAATAATAAGCTTTGTTGCAACAGCTACACAAGACTGCCGCTCTTGACACTGAACATCAATTCATCAATACAACACATCCTGACTACTGCCTTTGATATAGTTAACTACTGTCCATAAATCAGCAGTTATGAATCATACCACATTCTGAACTAATTACCAGAATTACTTAAACATACATTTAAACAAACACTTTAATGAACTCTGATGAATGGATTTTCAGTAGACCAAAGACAGATTTGAACCCAGTGCCATGCTTCTGTTAACTAAGATGATTGAAAACCAGACACATACACGCACACACACACAAAAAGACTATATAAAGCTAAACTAACATAATGAAAACAAGAAGATGACATCAGTCACTGTGTCATTTATGTTGTTTTCATATATGTAATGTAAAAATAAACTGAGAAACAAGTCAAATAATTCTAGATAAGATATTTTTAAAGTGATTAAAGTAGGTAGCCCTCGATTTGCGCCGATTTTGAAACCAGCAAGTCAAAAAGTGAAAAAAACATGTTTTACTATTATTTATAATGTTCTACAATGTATGTCGTACTGATTCTTATACTAAATCGTAATTCTTACATCGCTAATTTTGAATAAAAATTATAAACACAGTCATTTCTGCAATTACGAATGTTACGTTTACGTGAATTTGCTCCAATGAGATCGATGAATCGGTAAAAGCTGTTTGTGAAATGCAAACATTTGCATATGCGAGTTTGCTCTTACGCAATTTCATTCCTGGCGCTTTAAACTTTCAAAGGACTAATTTAATCTCTGCGGAGGTACCGGGGTTATTTTTACTATGCGACTTTCTATAGGTCAGCATCTTACATGAATGCAACTAACGTATAACAGCAGAGATTTACGCCAGTTTGTCCAGGAACGCATCCCCGGCGTAAATCGAGGGCTACCTGTACTATATGAATCTACTAGTAGTATGTAAAGTAAATAATTCCCACTACACACTATGAAAGTATTTGGTGGGAGAGAAGGTATAGCTCCTACTCATTCTTGATTTTGGCACTAGATAGGGAAGAGTGGTCAATGTCATACCCTGGCTGTACTTTATCCTCTGGGAAAAGGATTCTTAGTACCCAATGGATAGGACGTTGGGTGGTATGGTCACAGGCTAGAAGCAAAATCTTCTGATCATGCTGGGGATTAAACCCAAGTCCAGTCCATACTCATACACTATACTTACTGAGCTAACCTGGCTCACCTACTAGTAGTATGAGTGTTGTTAAAACATATGATATCTGATCTTCAAAACTATAAAATGCACCATATCACTGGCAAGAGTTTTTACATACTTGCTACTTTAGTTGTGTATGAACTATGCTAGTAGTATGAAATTATCAAATTCATTGATTCACTGTGACAGAGCCAAGCATAGTGGTCCCTAATAAGAGGATCCCAGGACCAGACGATCTTGATGGTGATGCTGATCTGTGTGAAGATGGGGTTCAGCCAGTCATCACAATAACACCACCAAACAACAGAGATAACTACGGGGATGCGTATGCCAAGACTCCAGATGAAGGAAAGAGCACCAGTGAGATCTCATCACACGTGTTCATAACAATGATTGTTCTCTGCTTGGTCATTGTAGCAGTCATCATAATCATCATAGTAGTGTACATCTGTCATGCACATCAAAAGAAGTACCTCTATACAACAGGAAGAAGTGTCCTGACATTCTCAAATCCAAACTACAATGCATCCAGTTCAGATGTTGGACCAAATGCCACTCAAGCTGATAAGAGGATATTCCCTTGGAAGAGGCTTAAATATGACAAGTCACAGGTATGTAATTAAGCAGCATGAAGTAGAGGTCTGCTCAAGCCAAAAATTTAGAATTTCACCCACAATGGCCCAAGACCATTTGGCCTGACCCAGAATGAGCCTGAAGTTTATATTAAAATATGTTACCCATACCCCATGTAAGCCCGACTTCCTTTTATTCCAGTCTGAATGAAGTCTAAACTATTTACAATATGCCTTCACTATTGTATCATTACTATGTGTTTATTTTAATTCAGAAATCCAGTAGACCTTGAATGAATTATTTAACAATGCTCTAAAAATGTCTGAGGTTATTTTGGCACCAGATGCCACATTTGTAAAATATTATCTTGAATTATTTCTGGAAGGGGGTAGCTACTAAAATCCCTGGGAAAATAAAGTCATTGGGATTTGTTTCCAGAGCCTGTGTCATGAGCATAAGATGAGTACAAATATGAATAACTTTTTCTCTTTGTGTGAAAAATAATGGCCCAAGAAAGTCCAAATTCAGCCTGGACCTGAACATTACTTGTGCTACCAGCCCAAGCCCATGCAGGCCTCTAGCATAAACAGTGGTGTACTATGACAGCTCTGGACACCTGAAAATGTTGACAACTTAGCTTCTTGAAACAATACATAACTCCATTTGTACAGAGCTCTTCTTTAAAAGCTGATAGTTATTTAGCTGGTTAAGAAATTTCTCACTTTTACAGACCCTAAAGGTTCATTACTGTTTTTCAAAGAAATCCCACTCTTCACCATACTGTAAGCCAGTTCAATCCAATACACATCTTCACACATAAAGTCTCAAAGTTCCATTTTAATAACAGCTTCCCATCTATGCTTAGGTCTCACAAGTGGATCAGTTCCCTGTGATTTTCCATTACTCTGACTATATTTAGTGAACTGTACATTATGAAGCTCTCATTATATAATTCTCTCAATTCTCCTGTTACTTCCTCTTCTTAGAGTCTAATACTCTTCTCAATATATCTTTTTCTAACATCCTCAATCTTTTAGATTCCCTATTTCTTAGCAGACACTGGGGTTCCATTGTGGAGAGGCTTTACTTTATACCAGACAAAATATCTGTGATCCTGAGCTATTGAAAAGCCAGTAAGTGAGGAAGGGAAAACAGAAAGAGAAAAGGGGGAACAAGATGCCTTATGTGCTGCTACCACTTCCCCTCCCTTCTTGTACCTTGGCTGGCTGGCCACAAATGTATGTATCTGTAACAGTCAACTAAGCTCAGAGATATCTTGTGACAAATATACTGACATTTTCAAAGACGCTTAACAATCTGTTTCTTTTCTCAAATTTCCAGGAACGAGTATACAATGTCCATGAAGACAAACAAACTACAAGTCCAGAAGTTGTTTCTTTGATCCCCACTGTGGTAACCCCAAACAACTGTGCTGACGCAACCACCCCTGAGCGCATCGCAACTCCCCCACCAACTCCCCCCCAGAGACTGGACAGCATAAGCCTAAAGGCAGGGTGAACACAAATTAGACACCAGTTGTGCAGTTGGTATTCAAATATTACAGCAGAGAGCCATCCAACAATGCAAGATACATTAGGAGATTCATATAGCTAGGCTGTAAATGTTTGTAACATTGTCAATACAACTGAACCCGTGCATTGCCGTTTTTATCAGATGTTTAACTGATGGTAATTGGCATTTAAAGTGGTAAGTGTAACCACATTGATTAGAGCCAGCCAGTAAAAAGAAATAATAGGCCAAATCCATGTTATCAATGGAGAAGAAAGGAATCCAGCCAAAAATTGGCTTCCAGTTTTTATATCATCATTTTTTTAAGTTTGGTATGAGCCATTATCAGGTTTTTGGTTGCATAAATGTCAGTCCACACAGAAAAACCATTTTATAACTGACAAAAATTGAGATGAACAGCCATTTGTATGACTGGATTGATCTACAAATAATTTGTCAGGACTCAGAAACAATACTTGGAGTCACAAAATATGGCCAGAAGTTGCATGGGCCTAGAATGCTGGCATCAATTTGCTTCATCAATTGAAAGGCAAAGCAATGACAAGACCAGCATAAATAATGAGAGCAGGAACTATGAGTACAAAGAACTTTTTAATAAATGCCTCTGTTATTGTTTCCTTTGAAAATAGGCAGTTTGATGTCAAGTACTGTATGATTAGAGTGGGTAATGTAGGAAAAGCTGATTATGATGTGCATGAATATCAACTTCATGTATATTAAGAGAAAATGAAAGGAAGTGATTGAAACCAAACAGACCTGCTTATATGTGTAGTGAAAGCAAGATTATAAACAACTGTTTCATGAATATTCATGCACATGTAAATGTTTAGTGGAATGATGCTGAAGCAAGTTATACGTTCATCATGCAATTTACTTTGGCTAATTTACGTGCGCACTGCATATCTAAAGATATTCATTATGCGTTACTACCTTTGGTCTTACACCCTACAATGAAGATAATATAAGATTTTACATTCCCTGTATTTTCTGGCTATTAAATGAATAAAACAGAGATGTCCATCAGTAGGCAGTGACTCTGTGACAGTGAACAGAAAATATGTGAATATAATTAAGTTATGATAATATTAAATTATGTGTAATAAACTGAATGTGGCTATGTGTACTATAACTGTAAACACACAAAAATAAAACCTGACTCCTTCATGTCCAGCAGATGACCAAATACTTAAACACTTTAAGAATGAAATTTCTTATACCCTTTCTGTACCAAAAGAATTTTTTTTTACTAATATGGCCACATGTTTTGCAAATGACAGACCCAAGTTGGGTATCATTTCTGTTAACTGCCCACCATGCCCATTTGTAAGAATGAATCCATTAGTCTTTTATAGGAATAGCTTCTCAACACAGGCATACTTACAGGATACGAAAACTGCCACGTCAGTGTATCAACCAGTAGTTCTTAAAAAGATCAAGAATAAGAGGGGTTCATGATGGTTATATCCTATCAGACAAAGTTATCAACTTAAAGAAATGTGGCTTCAATTATTACTTCATTTATCCAAAAGACTGTTCTTACTAAGATATGTACCGGACTGAGCACTGGTTTCTTTCAGACTTCTTCTTTATTCCATATTTTATAACCCTCTGAAGCTGAGGCTCATCTAAATATTTAAAAATTCTACCTGTGCCACAAAAAAAAACACAGTACTTCTCTGTTACAAAGTTCAACTGGTTGATGCTGTTTGGGGAAAAATCGCTGTTTACTCTGAGAATCATAAGAAACTGACAAATATATCTTGTGGGTAGAGTGCAGAATTACTTATTTTAAAGCAGATTATACATACAGTTACCATGGGGCTTTAAAGGGCTAATGCATTCACTGCTGGGTTATACTAAATTCATTGTACCCTGACTACCAGATCATTTCATTTAAATATTCTTTATACATAATGGTTTATTAACCTTTTTATTCCATGTAATAGAAGTCTTTTTTATTAAATATCTTAAAGACAAGACAGTATATCAATTCCTAAATTATTTAATTCCCTGGCATATTTGATGGCTACAGGATATCTTGTTACTTCTTCTCTAGAAACATCTCTCTTGTCATTGCTTTGTCTTCAAGCTACAGCAAACATAAGACTTCACACAAATACACAGAATTTTGTAATGAACCATACAAATCCAAAATTTCATAGCATCACAAAGAATTATTTCATGTAAATGATATGATGCTTCAGCAATCCACAACACAGCTTTCTCACCCCTTGTCAAGTTTAAAGAGAAGCATTTAATTTGTATAATTCATTATGACATTTTTTTGCAAGATAATATTACTGAATGGGTGAATGAAATGCTCAAGTTATGTATACTGAAATATGAGACAGATTTATGACATAATAACAAATTTAGTACCTACCGGGCAGCTAAGATGGCATATCCCATCATCATAATATGGAAAAACTAATGGTAAATTTGTGTATTATGATTAGTTATATTAAGTGTGAATATATTTTGTTCCTGTTTCCCTAGCTGGTACTTTTGGCTAGTTGCTGGAATGCATATACTGATTGTAGTATTAGGAAATATTTCTATATTGAGAACAAGAATGAATGCCACAGTCAATAAAAGCTCAAATTCACCTTAGTGGCATAAACTTCTGAAACAACAAATTATAAAGAGAGCCAGAATTGATAGATGACCACAATCTCCAGCTTCTCAATTATATGTCATATTTTGTGTACATAGATATAACCTGTTGTATTTCTGTGTAACTTCTTCTCTATGGTTATTAAGACATATTTTGGATTAAAGGGATACGTAGAAGTTACATAATTTTGAAAAATATCTCATAACATTATGAAATTTGATAAACACATTTAATCAGCTTTTTTAACTTTCCAACATATTTTGTTTTAGAGAATTTCAATATAGATGTTACTCTTGGTATTGCTCGATTCTGCCACTAATATTCATTCATACCTTGGATTAAGAATGCCTAATTACATTTTCATAATTGACAACTGCACAAATAATGCCTTTTTGTAAGAATAACAAACATTCTAGTCATCACACCAGACTCTTAGCCAACATTACACTGATGACTCGTATTGTCAAATACATATATTTGTGGTCAGCATTTTTAAATCCATACACAGTAAAAATATATTAACAAATTCATTATAATACATTAATTATTTTAATAGACTGGTTACATTTCATTATATTCACTTGCATGTAAATATATGGTCTGTAATATAATGTTACAAAAACTTATATATGAAGAATATATTTTAATTGTGATTTTTTAAATGTAGTGTTTCTGATATTAATCTGCGCAACCGTTGAATATTTGACAGTAAAATAAGTTCTTATGAAGCATTCATATGCCTCTGTACCTATTTTAAATTCATAATTTCAATATTTCTTTCATATAATGTAAGATCATGGTTGAAATTACTCATATAACTGACTTTTAATCTTTATGATTTTTCTCTCCACAATATGATCTTTGAAACAATCTTCAAATGTTGAAACCAATTAACAGTACAGTTTATTAAACAAATATCAAATCTATAGCATATATGTAACTGTTACAAATATAAATAATTCATTTTTATGTTATAAATAATCATAATATTCAATGTGCATCAAAGAAATGTTCAGAAGGCCATTTCAAGTATTCCATAATTTACAGAAATATTCAAAGGAACAACTTTACAACACAGTGACCATGTACTGCAGTGTCTTTATCATGCATCAACACAGCATCGTCTACTGCCAGACATACCAGAGAATTTGTTAAGTGTGCCTATCAGACCCAATATAAACACAGTGCAAAACAAATTAAATTACACTGTCTTGGAATATTTTACACCAACCTTCCCTATCACTACTGAATTAATATCAACTTCAACTACTACAAGGATTGGGCCTATTGACATGTTCTGGGACAATTGCTGAAGGCAACTTGTCCTTATTAGTCTTGTATGGTGCATTTTTGAGTAGTGAGTGACAAGCCCACTGCCTCTGCACAATTTATACTCAATCCTGATTTGTTTGCTAGAGACATCTAGTAGAGAATCAGGAGAGACCTGGGTGAGAAATGGCTGCTGAATTTTGCTTACAAAACACCTCGTATCATGCTAGTAAGGTTCTTTTACATGCCAGCAATGCATTGTATGGACAAAAGAAATATATGTATCCAGTCACTGTGTTGTAAAGATATATGTTTTCAAATATTTTCATTAAAGTAGATGCCATTCATTACTAAAATGTATGATGCATCAAGATTTAATTTTCACACTAAATTAATAAAATAAAAGAAGCTGTGAGGTAATGCTTCTCATTCTATTGTTTTGTCACTGATATTATTTTTCACTCTTTAATTCTGACCTTAAAAGCTGACTTTATAAAAGCACTGATATAAACCAGTGATTCCCAAACTGTTCTGCAGAAAACCATGAAATATTTCCAGGAATTCCACAAATGAATTTCTCTAAAGATGGCAGAGTTCTTTATGCATACATAATCCTGGTAGGGAAACTTGCTTGAGAATGATTGAGAAGTGGCTGGAAGGATAACATTAAGACAAATCTTACGGAAACAGACTGTGAAGAAAAGAGCTGGATGTAAATGACTCATGATCATGTCCAATGGTATGCTTTTGTATTAACAGGGTTGAGCGTTCGGGTTCTGCTACTAGAGAATTTAATAACAATCTAAGATATAACTTTCTATTCTAATTATAAATCCAAAAGCTGATTATGTCCCCATATAAGTGGATAAACTTCAGTTCTTGCCAAAGAGCTTGGAAATCAATAACCTTGGAAAGCTGATGTTATTCTTATGGGTTATAATGCTGTGTAGATTTGTAGGTAGATACCAATGTTTAGGAGAAACATACTGCCTCCATCTTCAGGAATGACCTACAAATCCACATAGCTTTACAATCCAGGGCACATCTTCACCACTGTCAGAACTTCAAACCTCAAGGACCTTGAAAGTTTTCAGGTTGATAATTTTAGCAAAAACAAGACTAAGCTTGAGAATAAGTTTTCCAATCATGCACATGCACACACCATTCAGATGACTGATGTCATATGAATCACATCAAGTGTATGTGTCTTAGGAAGAAGAAAAGCAGATCATGACTGACGTTTCTCTGTATATGTACCTTTTTCCCACAAAAACAATTCCTGTATGTGCATCAGTTTCCACGAAAAGCAAACACATAGTTATGGCTTCATTAGATTTCAGATTCTACACCTGGGCAATGATTCAATGAATAAATTCCTAGATTAATTTCTAGGACAGTCTGATTCAAGAGCAATGTAGTCAAAATGCAGTATGCAAGTTTTGACATAACTTGATTGAACAAAATTGCAATCAGTTTGGGAATCAGTGGCACAAGGAATTCCAATCTCATGTAAATAATGCCAAAGAATGATGGTCATGTTTACTACCATTAAGTAACATCAATTATTATCTCATAAGCAACTAGAATCCATGTGCATGGTGTTCTATAAGAGTTGTTAGATAGGGACTCTGCCAAGTTCATTCCTATCACTTAGCCTATATGAATCTTCACTGGTGACGCAGTCTTACTGTTCTCCAAAACTGACCCCACTTAACATATCTATTCTCTTTCTGACTAACAAACTTCATGGTACAGGGTCTTCTTAAGTAGTTGATACTTATTCAGCTGTCAAAAAATTCCCTACTTTTATGGAACCCAAATGTCCATCACTGTGTTCACACAGTTCTACCACTGGACCCTAGCCTAAGCCAGTTTGGTCCAGTCCATGCCTTTGCTCTCTCTTTATAAAATGTAAATTCTAATATTATCCTTATACCGGTGCCTTGGTTTCCCATGTGAACTCTTCTTCCCTTCAGGTTTTCTAATTTCCTACATGTCCCTTCCTCTCACCAGTTTCATAAACAAAAGTTTTTTTAGCTTTTGGGCGCAACATTGCCAACTATCTCATATGTATACACATCTGCCCCTTATTTTGTTGTCCTGTTGGGTCACGTAACTGCCATGTATTAGAATGCTCCTAATGTGCTGACTTCAGAACAATATAAATTTATAATTCTCTAAACAAAAGCTGATTTTATCCTTATTATTTGTACTGATGGAAAATTTGGTAAGTGGGGAATGGACACTTATTATTGTTATTTATACACCTCACCTAGCATTGTTAGGTTAGCGTGGATGGAATAAACGAGAAAAGTGTACAAAATTGTGATATGGAAACCTCTTGGGAAGCAGCCATTTGGAATATCAAGAACAATGGGAAGAATATATTAATAATAATATTAAAAAGTATTGTGGAAACAAACTACAAAAATGTGAATTGGACTGACTCAGTGTTGTGCTATAGCGTTATGGGAATTTAATCAGTCAGATGGTTCAGACTCTATCATAAAAGGGTGGTATCCCATCTTTAAAAAAAAATGACAACCAGTCAGACATGTCTATTTCTTTGGTTATGTCCTGTTATTTTTCTATGGATGTGGCAAATAACACAATAACAATACATAGAAAACTGATCAAGTTTTTTAACAGAAATTATGGAAAATACAGTGATAAAAGTCACACAATTGACATTAAAATATTTACTGATGCCTGCAATTCAGTACAATTTGACATTATAAATACAAAATCAATCATCCTGTTTAATCTTTACACTGTTTTACTATGAATAAGGATGGAATGAAAATTCCCATCCTTTAATCATATAAAAAGTAAGAGAATGTGAGCCATTAATAGTAATACATAGCCACTTGGTGACAATATGATATAAAACTGTAGAGTGATTACAGGCAAAACATTCTTGGCCAATCCTTATATTGACAGTACGTTTAAAATACCCTGACTAGTATAATTTAGATATTCCTACCTAAGTGACATACTGTAGATTACTTACTTATAACAAGTGAGATTTTCAATGCTACACCCAATTCAAAAAATAAGCATCATCAGATTTGATAAATACACAATTTCCCACATCACAATAATTCAACACTGTAAAATAAGCCATTTCCATCCATTCCTAAACTTCATAAATAGATACAGCATTACAACTGTTTCCATCACTGTGTCTAAAAGCTTTATAGAATTAAAATAAATTAGTATAATAAATGTAATTACCTTGAAACTGGTAGTTACCAATGCTCCATCCAACATAATCATTTATCATCAACACACATTTGTCACTAGACTACAAACCACACAGCATATAATATGCAGTAACAAGAACTGTTAAAGAAAGCCCAATCTGCTTTAAAACCAATATTCTGCATAACCACGTGGCGACCTCTGCAACAGACTATTCGGTGACCATATCATGGAATTCCTATTTTGTTATCAATATGTATCACTTATAATGAATCCACAGAATTTCATAAGCAAATCTGTTCTTTTAATAATAATTAGGCCGAATATAAAATGAGTCAGAATTCAACAGCCTGAGAACAACAATAATAAATAATGAGTGCAGAAGTTCACGTTTGCATCTACATTGACGTTATTTACAAAAATTAAATTTTAACAAATACGGCAGAAAAAAATACTCCAAATTCTGGAAAATATTAAATATTTCTCCAGTTACCTTTCATACATTTTTCCTCTTTCGAAACAATGTTCAATTTTGAATACACTTACTTACTTACTTTACTTTTTAACGAGATAAAAACGCTGAATTTGACATTGCGGTCATCACCCTGTTGTTTCTCCGCACTATTAGAAAACTGCCCTGTTAAAAGAATAAATCCTGGCAAGTTCTAGGTTATGTCACAAATAAACAAAACCAGTCTTTTAAAATTGAAGGTCTAAATCCGTTTATATCTTAAATGTAGAAGTTTTGTGAGACTAGATTGCGGAATACTTAAATTCATACGTCTCAGCACTAATAGGAATATTATGATTTGCCACTAATGCTTTTAATTATTTTCGTTGCCATAAGCAGTGTTATACAGATATATATAAATGCACGTTTTATGAAATGTTTTATAAACGCTTCATTGTATGGTAAATTTACAGAATGCAAATATGTATCTACTTATGTAAATTAAATGTGTTACAATCAAAGAACTGTACATAACTTTGCATATTTGGGCCCTTAAATTCTGTATTTTTCGGAGACTGGAAGCATTTTAAATTTGGAGGGTAGCAAACTAGATTAAAGTGTAATATTTAATATTTTAGACAATTGTGTTTTGCACAAAAAGTCATATTAACGTTTATATATTAAGACCAATCCATGAAGATGATTGTTGACATGCATAAGGAAACAATTTGTTAATTTTCTTAAACAATTATCTAATCTCATTGTCCACTGTGTTCAGGAGTCATTTATCAATGTAATAGGACACAGTGC